AGAAGCTTTTACACACAGAAGCTTTTACACACAGACACTAGACACTTTTACACACATAGGCTTTTACACACAGACGCCTTTACACACAGACACTTTTACACGCAAACACTTTTACACGCAAACACTTTTACATACAGACACTTTAACATACAGACACTTTTACACACAGACGCATTTACACACAGACGCTTTTACACACAGAAGCGTTTACACACAGACGCTTTTACGACGTCCAACGTCCATACCGCAGTTTTTGACGTCCAACGTCCATTTCGTGCGAAAACGTTGCGGCGTACTAACTAAAATCGCAATTTTACCTCAGTTTTTGACGTCCAACGTCAATTTCGTGCGAAAGGGTTGCGACCGACACCTCAAAATCGCAATTTTATATCAGTTTTTGACGTCCAACGTCCATTTCGTGCGAAAGGGTTGCGGCGGACTAACTAAAATCGCAATTTTACCTCAGTTTTTGACGTCCAACGTCCATTTCGTGCGAAAGGGTTGCGTCGCAATTTTACCTCAGTTTTTAACGTTCAACGTCCATTTCGTGTGAAAGGGTTGCGATGGGCCAAGTAAAATCGCAATTTTACTGCAGTTTTTGACAGTTTTTGACGTCCAACGTCCATTTCGTTCGAAAGGGTTGCGGCGTACTAACTAAAATGCAATTTTACCTCAGTTTTTGACGCCCAACGTCCATTTCGTGCGAAAGGGTTGCGACCGACACCTCAAAATCGCAATTTTACCTCAGTTTTTGACGTCCAACGTCCATTTCGTGCGAAAGGGTTGCGTTTTGGATGTCCGATGTGCACGAAATGCTGCGCCTGTCACGTTTCATGGCGCTCCGGCGGCACCTCCCCCGCCTTAAGAGAGAGATAGAAAGAAGAGCGAGAGAAAGAAAGGGAAGATGTAGATCTGCAGATGTGAAGGTGTGAAGATGTAGATCAGCAGATGTGAGGGTGTGAAGATGTAGATCAGCAGATGTGAAGGTGTGACGATGTAGATCTGCAGATATGAAGGTGTGAAGATGTAGATCTGCAGATGTGAAGGAGTGAAGATGTAGAACTGCAGATGTGAAGGATGTAGATCTGCGATGTAGATCTGCAGATATGAAGGTGTGAAGATGTAGATCTGCAGACGTGAAAGTGTGAAGACGTAGATCTGCAGATGTATTGCAACGGCTGCTTTTTTACGAAGAACCCTTCGCAGGCGCTCTCGGGAACAAAGCTTGCACAAAGCACTTCCCAGTACTACTTTGTACTACAAAGCTTGCAGAAAGCACTTCCCAGTACTACTTTGTACTACAAAGCTTGCAGAAAGCACTTCCCAGTACTACTTTGTACTACAAGGCTTGCACAAAGTACTCCCCAGTACTACTTTGTACTACAAAGCTTGCACAAAGCACTTCCCAGTACTACTGTGTACTACAAAGGTTGCCAAAAGTACTTCGCAGTATTTCTTTGTACCGCAAAGCTTGCACACAGTATTTCCCAGTACTAATTTGTACTACAAAGCTTGCACACAGTATTTCCCAGTACTACTTTGTACTACAAAGCTTGCACAAAGCACTTCCCTGTACTACTGTGTACTACAAAGGTTGCCAAAAGTATTTCCCAATACTACTTTGTACTGCAAAGCTTGCACAACGTATTTCCCAGCACTACTTTGTACTACAAAGGTTGCACAAAGTATTTCCCAGTACTACTTTGTATTACGAAGCTTGCGCAAAGCACTTCCCAGTACAACTTTGTACTACAAACCTTGCACAAAGTACGTCCCAGTACTACTTTGTGATACAAAGTTGGCACAAAGAAAGTTTTTCGTACTTGTTCGAATATGTTTTGATGGGATCTTACTTATTTTATATTCCACCAAAACATTTTGACTCAAGTGGGATTTCTTATTTTGTTGGCTTTATTTTTCTTTCAGCATGCTTGGCGTTCAATGCTTTTTTTCAACAGCGTTTTCGGCTTTATTCATGGGTTTCAGCAGTACTAGCTTTGGCGTTCATTTCACGATGTCATTTTTCGTTGATACCTAGCACCATCACTGGTCCCGGGGGCACATTCGAGCCATTGCAGCTGACGGCGCCCTGCACACCTTTGTGGGGTCAACCTCGTCCTGGTGGGAACCTTTGTACTGCGATTCACTACACATTCAAATGTCCAACCTGCCATATGTGGTCAATCAACTTCAGTTGTTGCCATTTGACAAAAATCTATACAAGATTCTAACGTAGCGATGGCCAACATTTGGAGTGATGTATGCTCCTATTTCAATGTAGAATCAGCATTTGCTTTTTCACTGCGGATTCACGTCCACTATCTATGCGCAATTCCATTCAGCAGATCTCATGTCGGATGACCTGCCGCGGCCACGACCTACAGTGCCGCCCAGTTGCAGCAGCTTATAATAGCTAGCCTTTCATCAGGAATATTCATGTGAAGCAGCCTTGCCAAGACCGTCCATTTATAGACCAGAACACCATTCAATCATGCCCTTCTCGATCACCTGTTCCAGTTGTACCATCGCATTTTCAACATGATACCAGCAGAGTACTCGGTCCAACCTGATGCACATTCAGATGGGGCCTCTGTCATTCGTTCTGTGTAAATCCAGATCTGTCCAACAATGTACAATGGACAAGACTGGTGATCGACGCACTTGCGACCTCTACATTATTTGGTTTTCTTGGCATATCATCATGGGCTCAACATCAACTGGGATTGCACCAGCAACTGTGATGGCAACTTAACAGCAACTTGAGTTGCAACCATGCCATCAACAACAACTGGGACTTCAGACCTGGCTCCATACACATACAGATGTTTCGGCTTTGCTTTGGTATCCCATTCTCTGATGCAATCTTGGAGGAAATCCACAACAGGAATAGACGGCATCCTTCACTGCGACAATATCGGTGGTGTTTCAATGGGGAAGATGATTATTGCGGACAGGATTCAGCAATACAGAACTATTGATCAGTGGCGGCGTTTGGATGCAAATTTTGGGAGGTATTCAAATCTCATACTTGCGGAGGGTCATACATTGGCACTCCATTTTTGGAACATTTGATCAATATTGTTTTGCCACATTGGGACCACAATTTTGGGCACTGCGAATGGGCCCGTCATACCATTACAGGCCACGTCACACGTGGGAACCCTGAACAGGTTTGCCAATGGCTTGGCATACATTGAAGAAAATCAGCATTGGGCTATGACATCGACCCCATGGCTCCAGACATGGTCGCTGCTGAATTTGCTGATGATCGGAGTGGACTTGGCCTATCGGATTGCAGCGTATCACCCACATCTCATGGATGGCATCCTACACCTAGATTGGAGGACTTTTCTGGAGGACCAAGACAAGCTCCACAAGTCAACCATGGGACAGCATTTCCACTGGTTTCATCTCCGATGGGGATTCATCGTGGTCAATGCATTGTGTAGCAGCTTTGGGACCACACTTTTGGCAATCAACTGCGTGCAGACTCATATTATTGCTTCAGAACTGCGATGCAAACGGGATACAGGGACAGTTTCGCACATGGCTGTGCGCATTACGGACACAAATCTTCATCTTGCATGGATATCGACCTCACGGCTTACACGATCCATGGCATGAAAGTGACACCCGTATTTTGGGGCTCACAACGGCACACCATGGATGCCATGGGGTAGCAAATGATGTGATGATGACTTGCAAAGTCACCACAAACTTGCTCAATCCAGCATCAGCCCTTACTCCAGGGACGGTGTGGCGGATGAATTGGTTCCCACCAGTCTTTGGGGGATCATGCTGAGCAAGGATGGCGTCCTATCACGATTCAGCACTGTGATAGTCATACAAGTGGAAGATGGTAAATGGTCATGCGTATCCATCTCCATTGGCAGCATCATTAGATCCAAAGGATGCAAGCTTGGAAGATATTCAAGATCAGCTTCAAATGAACCATTAGATTCATCTAGCAATGGCAGTTGGTCTGATGGATAAGACCCACAGGCTTTTCAATACGGGAGTCTTAGATTTGAGACATCTCCGCAACAGTTTTCTGCGATGTTTCGCAAAGACAAATCTATCATTTGGCTATCCCACCGCAGATGGGACGCGGTTTCCAACTCACAGGCGACAGAATCTCCGTATTGGAGCTTTTACCACTTTTATATGGCATGGTGGCCAGAAATATCGGGGGCACAACCAAATTGTTGTGGCGTAAAAAAAAACAACGCATTATTCAATCGGCGTCCCTCTCATCCCCAAGTTGATGTCATTCATCAATTGGTGGTTTTGATTTTTGCTATCATTGGCTTTTGCTTGAATGCCCCCCCCACATACACACAAACAGGGATGCAGTGGAAGGCATCAACATCAGATCTTGGAATCACCCCAGATTACCTTAATGGTTAGATGGCGTATTTGGTTCAGAACCCATTTTTATATACGAGGTTTCCCCAGGCAGACAGGCTCCATGTAAGGGATGATCTGACAGATTTGACGTGTTAGGGGAGTTTATCCCCTCGGCTTCCAAAAGATGGTGAGTCCATCTATGGCTGCAGAACCCGAGTGGTTCAAAAAAAAAGGCATAACATGGCATGATGCGTCCTCAAACCCACTAGAATGCGGATTCTTCAGAAGATATGCAAAGATCAATGATCTCTTTTTGGTTTGGGCACAGGATCTCTTTTTATCAAACATCAACAATCATATTTGTACGCTCAACTCTCTTTATCCACAAGGAGGACAATTCGGACGTGCATGGTCGCTTGCCTTCGCGCATTCTTAGCAGTGGCCTCTATCCGAGAGAGTTTGGCATTTCAGCGCAAATTGCAATATTCTTTTCCGGATCGAGTTGAACGTTGGACTTTTCTTCAGACTCCCCAGTTGCAGCCCTCGCAAGCTGGACAATTCTGGGTACACTTTACCATTGGATTGAGCATTGGAACATTACACTGCTTCATTGGATTTTCGAACCTCTCAATAGAATTTTACAATTTGGTGAGGAGCTCATGGCAAAGCCAGTTGACGATCCAGCTGCCTTGCGACGACTTTTGGATGAATCTGGAGTATCCTCACAGGTGACTGAGCATATTGCATCACAGGGCTACACCACTATTGCGCTGTTGGGCTATGCAGTCCCCAAAGCCGATGCCCTGGAAGATTTTGTGAAATTTCTCACACCTTCAGCTGATGGATCCGAGTTTCAGCCTTTTTCTCCCCAGGTTGCTTGCTTGCGCCGAGCAGTTGAGGTGTTTCGATGCCATCCAGAACGACCCTGGAATTGACAGCCCGTCTCGTGCACACGGGGGTGATCCTATTACAGTGGTCTCGCGTCAAGCACCCAGAGCCTGGGGACAACCACCATCTTTGGAAACCCGTCCGAGAACCTGGGGACAGCCACCTCGTTTGGAAGATCGAGTGAAAGTGGACTCCAAGGATGATGGTGGGCGGAATGCCCAATCAAGACTAGTGCAACGAGTGACGTAGCAGAGATCTTGAGGGACCTCTGTTTTTGGCAGTCGCTTTCTCCAAGTATGAGCATTGCCGAGTTAACAGAGAAGATCACTACAGCGGGGTGGTACAGCCTTCTTTTATCCAAGCTCAAGGAGGGTGTCACCTTTGTGACAGGTTGCCCAAACTCCGGTAAGTCCACTCTTGCAGTCAACATTGCAACGTGCTTGGGTCTGGTCAAGACTCGAACTTCCTCAAGGAATTTTTGGTTATTTTCCAAGGACGATAGACCATTTTTCAGTATTTGTGGACTCCAAATTCAAAGACGCGGAGTTCAAATCAGGTGCATTGATTATTGAGGGCCATCGTGCCCTTTTGTACCCAGACCATGAGCATCTTTCATCGACAACGGCGATATTGTCGTCTACGGCTCCAATCATGCAGGAGCGGGGTACCCCGCCCGCGTCAATCAAAAAGCACAAGTTGCACATATCAAAGATGTTTGAGAAAATTGACGCCCTCAACTCCTATGGGGTATTTAGTGCAAACTCCTCAGAGGTCTGTTTGGTATGCCAGATGCTGCAGCTATGGATCCTTGACGATGCGAATCTAGACACGTCCCACCTCAGAACAGACGACTTAGATGGGCGTTGGTGTTTCTAGTTTCCGGCCCCAAATAGTTTGCCAGACCTTTTGGTCATATTTGAGCTGATGCTTGGAGACTAGCACCAGGCAATTATGGGTATGGTGAGGATGACACCTCACTGAGTTCAACCCCCTACGGCTACACCGGGGGAAGGGCACTACATTTCAACAAGTTACTTATGGGACAGCAGGCAGCTGCATCCATCTACCAGTGTGCAAACTTGCGGACACTGAGACAAATCCTGGCTTTTAGCTACTCCTTTTCCTCCGTCGCGGCAAAAGGCATGATCTGGTGACCACTGTTGCAACAGTCATGACAATATCAAAAAAGGGATTTATCAGGGCGTTACATTAGCAGATGGATAATTGCACATTCCTTCCCACAAATTGGCGGTCGCATTGACGAGTGAATTGCACTACTCATTAACTCCCCCCCAACAAAATCTTTCTTTCGAACCTATTTCCCCAATGCTACCCAGCCAAGGGACATATGATCCTCCATTGATTGTGACATGGAGCAGGCTTTATCTCACTCCACATTGGCATATGCCTCATCCCTTGACAATGACATGTTTCGGTAAAAAAACATGGCATCATCGCTTTCTGGCTCATTTGCAGCATATATTTACGTGTCGGCTTTCGCAGATTGAGGCGTAAAAAAAAATGGGCACACATCCATGGATGATTCCTGGCGACAACATTAATTGCACATTGATTGAGGGTCTCTCAAAAACGGATTATTTATCCTGACACAAGACCTTTTCATTGAATTATCCAAGGGGGTACTCCGGGGTTCAAACACAACAATCTACCATTGTTTGGCCACTAATGATCACAATTAAAAGGACCATTTCCCGAGGGAAGGTCCGCGGAAAACTCGGCTTCCCAACTTCACCCAAAAGGCCACCCATATTGATGAGGTACAGCACCCTTGGTGGATCAAACAATCACTGGATTATTCCTATCACAGGCAGGCTACTATCAGCAACCGATGCAGTCGGATGTTACCAACTCAACCCTTTAGCCTCTACGCTTTGGTGGCCTCAACATCAGCATTGAGTTGGCCCACAAGCGGGTCGAACCGCGATTTCGGCCTGAAGGGTCATGGCCTTTTGTTCCTCGAGTATTTTTTTCCGGTTACATAGCAGGCCCAGATGATCCACTATTCAATGCGCATCGATGGAGCAGACTGGTTGGCTTCATCTTCAGCAATTCCCTACAGATTTCCGGAAACACGTGTGAATTGTGTCCTCCACCAACTGATTGGACGGAGATTTTCTACATTCCACGATCATCATGATCCATCCTGCGGAATTCCACCGTATCTTGTATTGGTTTATGCTGTTTCAACAACATCCTGCATCTATCTATACCGCCGAACAGCTAACTTTTCGAGAAACGATACAGGACAATCCACCCACTGGAGTATATTCGCCCTGTACTTCTTCCAGACAACAATCTTCGCGTTCAAGATTAATCTCCTGAATCAACTACATGCAGACTACATGATGAGTCAATTCATTTTTCTTGCATACACAGAATGTATCAACATTCTCTAAGTACCAAGTGGCTGCAATCTGTTCCACCGACTACATCTCCAACAGACGTGAATGTGCATAGAGGCATTGCTCATACTGGAGGCTGGCTCACCGTTTTCTATGACTTCCAGACGGGCTTTCTGAATCCTCTGCGCTAATTGACTTTCAGCTGATATTAATCTCAATGACCACCAACATGCAGCGATACTTCATTTGCTCCGAGACCCTCACTCTGCCTGATGTACTAAACCTATTTGCTCAACATTTCCTTCGTGCTGATCTCCCATTTACATTCACAACATTTCAGACAATACGGATACAGGAGAGGGATACAATGCCATTGTTCTCCACAATGACTCCATTCTGGACAACTTCCTATTGGAACTAGCGGAATAAAATTGCTTATTATGGGGGTATATTGGCGTCTTTTATTCATATCTGATAGTTCAAGTGGGGGGTATCCGCCTGGCTGGTGGAAGACCCAATCTGTTGAGTGGGATATGGCATCGAACTATTCAGCAAGTTCCAAAAAAGAGAAGCGGCAGTTGAGAGAAAGCAGTTTTGCGGAAGGGTTTCATTTTTTGCGGCATAATTTTATCTCGGAGTTTCCACGGCGTTTTGCGTTGAGATAAGTTTCATTTGCAGAAAGATTTTATTTTATGCGGCTGAGTTTTATCTTGAAGTTTCCACCGTGTTGTGCGCACTTTTATTATATGAATGTGTTATATAATAGCGATGAAATAAGAAGTCCCACTTGAACGTTTTCGTACTTGTTCGAATATGTTTTGACGGGATCTTGCTTATTATATATTCCACCAAAGCATTTTGGCTCAAGTGGGATTTCTTATTTTGTTGGCTTGATTTTTCTTTCCCCTCCCACCCGCTCCAAATTAGCTGATTCCTCAACGTGGTGATCATCTTCGTATTTCTTTCTGGAATTTTCACTGGATTCTTTTGACTACATTCACTACATTGCTTTGGCGATCCTCATCGTTGCGACAAACTCAATTGTATCATGGCGCGCTTGCCTTCAGAGATTAGATTCACTATTGAATTCCAACCTGGAGTTGCTCGTTCTATCATCGACTCTATTCTGGACCCGCTTCAATTGAACACTTTGGACTGCAGTGTCAACGAAATTATTTACCCTACCGCCGTGTCTTTGCGATATGGGGGTGACCCGCCCCTGATTGACCTCCCAAATCATTGGATAGCATGGGATGAGGATATTTCCACCGATGTCATTTACCACTTCTATGTGGCAGATTCACAGATCTTCGAGAACCTGACCAATTTGGCATTTGCCACTGGGAACTATTTGAGTCTAGTTGCAGCAGGTGTTCCTTTGGCTCTTCGTGAAGAATTTGTGCTTATTATTCATACTTTACCCCTGATGCAGCTCATGGAATTAGCTGCTGAGTCGGCCAATCGTATTCGTGTCTTAGAGCTCAGACTGGGTGATGCAGAACAATCAATCGCTTTGATTCGTCAACACCTTGGTCTTTAGACCATTCTGACCTTCGACGCATCATCATGGAAGAAGCTCTATTGCAACCATCGGTAGCATTGCCTGGAAGCACCAGTGTTCAACTGTTTGTATATACCCGCTTGCGGGGGTATCTGGCCATCAGGTATAAATGTCGCCTGGCTGGTGGAAGACCCAATCTGTTGAGTGGGATATGGCATCGAACTATTCAGCAAGTTCCAAAAAAGAGAAGCGGCAGTTGAGAGAAAGCAGTTTTGCGGAAGGGTTTCATTTTTTGCGGCATAATTTTATCTCGGAGTTTCCACGGCGTTTTGCGTTGAGATAAGTTTCATTTGCAGAAAGATTTTATTTTATGCGGCTGAGTTTTATCTTGAAGTTTCCACAGTGTTGTACGCACTTTTATTATATGAACGTGTTATATAATAGCGATGAAATAAGAAGTCCCACTTGAACGCTTTTACACACAGCAAGTTCTTTCGCAGAGAAGCTTTTACACACAGCAAGCTTTTTAAACAGAGAAGCTTTTACACTCAGAGAAGCTTTTACACACAGCAAGCTTTTACACACAAAATCTTTTACACACAGCAAGCTTTCACACACAGCAAGCGTTTACACACAGAACACTTACACACAGTGCTTTTACACATGGCAAGCGTTTACACACACACACAGAAACTTTTACACAGAGAAGCTTTTTACACACAGAAGCTTTTACACACAGCAAGCTGTCACACAGAGAAGCTTTTACACACAGCAAGCTTTCACACACAGCAAGCGTTTACACACAGAACACTTACACGCAGTGCTTTTACACATGGCAAGCATTTACACACAAACTTTTACACACAGGAATTGCAGCTCCAAAACCGGATCTCGGCGCCAAAGCAAAAAAACGATTTTGAAACACTTTTCAAAAGGACTTTTAAAATGAAAATTGCTAGCGCCAAAATTGCGAAAATCTGCTGATAAATCACTTTCGCGGCCTTGATGCAGGCACTCCATTACGATGTACGAGGTCCAGGTGCACAAGACAATAGTATTACGCATGCAGCCGCGGCACAAGCAACCTTGACGCAGCCACTACAATGCGATCTGCAGAGACTGAGTTGCAAAACGCAATAGAACTACGCGCAACGGCGTCAGAAATTGCAGCTCCAAAACCGGATCTCGACGCCAAAGCAGAAAAAAGACGATTTTGAAGCACTTTAAAAAGATTTTTAAAAGGAAAATTGCTAGCACCAAAATTGCGAAAATCTGCTGACAAATCACTGTCGCAGCCTGGATGCAGCCACTCCAATACGATTTACGATCTTCAGCTGCAAACGACAATAGTACTACGCATGCAGCCGCGGCACCAAGCAACCTTG